TGCCCTTGTCTAGCTTGGATTAACACATAGTCTACAGGCACACACCTGATCATCTACATTTGCTCTCTTACAACACTAAACTATGTTTTCTACCTTTATCTTGCATCTACCTACCACTTCAGCATTTTATTAAAAATAATAATAATAAAGAGAGAAATGTGGTATCCACATATAAATCAAGTATAAAAATCAAACGAATATTCATATTTGAGCTGACTTTTTATAGTTCATAATGCATGATCAAAACCGAAAGTTTCTGTGATGACTGCCCTTGTACTATTCACTATGTAACTTATTCACTATGTAAGAATTTGTTCTCCATGTAAGAACTTGTTTGTTATGCTTCAGAAGATTGGAGACTGACGAAAATTAGGCTTGGGCTGGATTAATGATTATACATTGAGTACTGAGTCCCTTATACAGAATTTTATTGTTGTTAACAACCATTTGATCAAAAAAAATAGGAGAGATGCCCTCACAAAAATAAATAAATAAATAAATAAATAAATATATAAAGTACACACTTCCAATTGTAAAATAAGTAAGTAACCGGGATGTAATGTATGGCATAAGGAATATAGTCAAAATATTGTGGCAACTTGGTATGGTGATAGCTGGTACCTAGAATTATCATGTATATAAATGTTTAATCACTGTGTTGTACACCTGAAACTAATGTAATACTGTATGTCAACTACCCTTCAATAAAAAATAATTATCTAAAAAAAAAAAAGCCCTGAATTTACTTTCAAACTTTAACATTAATAAGTTTATAATAACCACTCCATTGTCTCATACCTGCACGTTGCAGCAAACACAGCTCATTGATACTTATGTACTTCTTAAACACATCCATGCAAACCTGCAAGTAACAAAAAATGTAAAATCACCTTTTTATATTTCATAAAAACTACACAAATTTCAATCTTTGCTTATTCCAATTTTTTAAAGTGAACTTAAAACAATGGAATAAGGAAGTGATAGGTTTATGCATAGATTTGAAATGTATACTGAATTCATTACAAAAACCATAGTTAGAGCAGCTCTGTCAAAGAAATAGTCAAGATTAGCAAGCAACTGGAGAAGGAAGAAAATCCTTGAATATCATGATTTTAAAAACCTTATTTAGGTCATTTAAAAAATAACTGTTTACTGGCACAACAATAAACACACTGACCAATGGATTAGGACGGAGCCTAAAAACACATCCACTCATATACAATCAGCTCACTTATGACATGGTAACTATGCAGTGCAGTGGGGAAAGAAAGGATGGTCTTTTTAGTAAATGATGTTAGGTCACCCGGGGATGCACCTGGGGAAAAAAAAGGTATCTTGGCCTTCTTCTCACAGCATAAACAAAAATCAATTCTAAATGGCTTAGAGTTCTAACTACAAAAGATAAAACAAACTTTTAAAGGAAAAACTTAGAGAACATCTTCATGATCTTGGAAAAGATTTCATCAATAGCATACAAAAAGTTAACATCATAAAATAAAAAAATTGGACAAAATTGGACTATATAAAAATTAAGAAATTATATTTATCAAAAGATGCCTTTAGGAGGGTGAAAAGGCAACTTGTAAAGTAGTAAAAGGCATCTGCAATATATATATATCCAACAAACAACCTGTATCCAGAATATATAAAGAATTCTTAAGATGGATAAGAATAAGAAAATCTTTTTTGTCTAAAGAAAATAGGCAAAATATTTAGATATTTCCAAAAGGGATATCCAAATGTCCAGTAACGATTCTGAAAGATGCTTAGCTTCATTAATCATCAGGGAAGGCATCACTTCCCACCCACAAGCATAGCTACAATTAAAAGGTTGATAATACCAAGTGTGGATGAGGATGTGAGGCAACTAGAACTCTCAGACTTTGCTGATGAGGCTGTAATTTGGTAAACCATTTGGAAATTTCTTTGGCAAAATCTATTAAAGTTAAACACACCATGCCTATAACCCGCAATTCCTGTTTTAAGTATAACCCCTCAGAATGTGTATATACGCTCCCCAAAGACCTGCAGAAGAACACTGATAACATCACTATCGTAACTACCAAACTTAGAAACCATCTGAATGCCCAACAAAAGTATTATTTTGCCCATCAACGAAATAAATTTTGATATACTCCACACAATGGAACATTCAGTATTATACAGCAATAAGAAAGAAAGGTCTACAATTAGGTTAAAAAATACTGATGAATCTGAGAAATACTGAGCAAAAGAAGCCAGAAACAAAAGAATACAGATTATATGATTTCATTTCTATAAAGTACAAAACTAAGTAAAGCTCACCTATGCTATTAGGAGTTAATGAAAGTTCTAATTAAAATACATAACTGAGATAGTTATTAAAACATTCTCTATTTCAAAGACTTTACATATTTTACCTTTTGTAGGGGAACGAGTCCGTGTACTCGTTTGAACGTAACACTAGCGAGTCAGCCACGTAATGTATTAAAATGAAATTTGCAATACCTATGAGGTATCATCAACCCTAGGGGTTTCTGGAACACCTAGAAAATTAGACAAATTCCCTTTCTGTATTAATTGTAAAACAATTACTATAATTAAGTTAGAAAACATTTGAAGTAACAAGAAATATCATATACCCAAAACAGTACCAAGATAAGTTTCTTCTGAGTAGACAGAAAAAAAAATCTCTAAATTTATATTTTTAAAAATGAAAAAAATCAACTTAAAGTGATTTGTCTGAATTTTTGCTATTTCTTTAGTGTAAAATATTCAAAAGCTACTAGTGTTTTACTTTACATATTTTTTAAAGTTTATATATTCCCTCCTCCTCCTAACACACCTGCCCCTTTTGCTTTTACAAAAAGTTAATTCTATTACAATATGTATCATATTTCAGATGTCTTTATCAGAACCAAAATTTTCCTTAGCTATTTTTAACCAATGGAAAAAGGCAAATGACAGAGTCAAAGCTTTTTACAACCGATTTTTCCTATAAACTGCTTTCTACCACTGGTTTCCTCTTCCATCAAAGGGAGCTATTCATCCTGTATTGTCCGCTTTGGCTATCCCCCACTCTTCTACTTTCAACCTCTTACGTTAATTGTAAATATCCTCTGCATCACTACTCATTTTCTGCTTTATAACAACACCCCCCATTCTAAATCAATATAATGTCTGGAACTGCTAAAAAAATTAAGGGGAAATACAACTGAAGTATGTGCTTTATAATATTATTATTATTTAAATGGGGACTTACCCCTACATTTTTTTCCCTCTTGACTATCTCATAAGTTTCAGAATTCTGCAGCTTTAGAAGAGAATGTTTTCCTGGAAATCTGAAATCTAGAAATGATTAAGAATGAATTTACACACTAATAGGTTGTACCTTATACCCTTCATAACAATGAAACAGATGACTAATACCTGCTTTAAAGTTTCACTTTGAACTATTCATGAGCTCAATTCACAGACTGTGCTACCATTATGTTTTCCTGTGAGATACAGAATGATTTACATCTTGGATGCTCTTTAAGTATTTCTAGACCTGAATTAAAAATTTTATATTCATTATAAGCTGAAGATACTTTCTGAAAAGACTGACATGTGAGCACTGTATTCAAATGATTGTTTCTAAGTTAAACAGACAAATATTACATACAATAAACCATTCTAAGGGAAGAAAACTACTGACAAATCCAGGTGCTACAGTCTAAACAGTGACTTGATTCCTGTTCCCAGATTAATATTTTCAAGCCTTGCTACTCTAAACCCAATGTGACTTTATTTGGAGATAGGGCCTTTTACAGAAATAATTAAGGTTAAGTGGGATCATAAAAGTGAGGCCCTGACCCGACAGAATTAGTGTTTTTATGAAAAGACACCAGAGAACTTGCTCTCTCTCTTTTCATGCATATGAGCCAGGAAAAGGCCCCGGGAGAATGCGGCAAGAAGGCAGCTAGCTGTCTGTCAGCTAGGAGAAGAGCCAGAAACTGAACCTTGCCAGAACCTTGATCTTGACCTCCTACCCTCTAGAAAATGTGAAATAAATTTCTGTTGTTTAAGCCAGCCAGTCGGTGGTGTTTTGTTTTGGCAGCCTGAGCTGAGCAATATACCAGGCATCATATACCTTACTGTTATCTTTTAAATATGAGATTAGGTCATTAATTTTTTTTCCCTAAAGATAAAATAGTAAGTTTTTATTTTAAATAATTTCATTTTTTACTTCAGCAGCATCTAGATACAATATGGAAAAAACTGATGTTTTTGCTGCAGAGCTTTGCAGTAATTTCATTGAAAACTTGTTAAGGCTTTTTAAGATAAAACACATGATCATCATGGGCTTTTTGCTATAATACACAACACAAGCAGCATAAAGTTAATAATGGGAAAGTACAGAAGAGCTAAGTGTGAGCTACACAAAGGGTTTTTATTGTTTCTAAGTTCATTTTTCAATCTAGCTTATTTTCTTCAAAGCCTTATCAATTATCAAAAAAATGGACACTAATTCTAAAATACATCTTAAAGTCCTAAAACACTCAACAAACATGATTTTAGACATAACCCGTAACTCACCTGTACTACCACTATTATATACAGATATTTCAGAAATTGTTTCATCGGAAGTACTAAGTATATGTATTAAATCTAATTTTAACAAGATATGATTGTTTCAATTTTCTTTTTAACCTTTTTTTTTTTTTTTCTGGTTGAAAACTCTCCTATACTATCAAAATCCAACAGAGTTTTACTAAGAAAATAGTACCATTCATCCAGGGTTTTAGTAATGTGTCTTCTTGATGAGCATTTAGATTCAGCGGCGGCACTGATAAGCACAGAGATTTTGGGCCCAGCGCTGCTAATTCACATTCACCAACCATAATATCTGTATTTTTAGAATTTTTGCTGTGTGAGCAGAAAAACCAAAATCAGAATTTCAATTAATTCTAAAAACACTGAAGTTCAAGGTAAGCAGAAACAAATCTAATGTTATATATGGTATATATTATGCTGTATAATTATCATACTGTGATTCTTCAGTATTTTCAATAGGTTGCTCCTGCCTTCTTAACCAGAAAACCAGTGCATATTAAACAGTTGAAGTAGCGGTAGAAGTGAGGTGGTGGGGTTAAAACTAGAGCAAAATATTTTTGATCATGCCAGACAAAAGGCTTGAGGAGGAACTGGGCTAGCACTTAAATGCAGAAAAGATGATCCAATTATTCAATAGACAGTATAATTAAATAAATGAATTATATTCTTCAGGATAAGTATCTCTAATAAATGTGCACATGTACTTGAGATCTTCCGTTGGGAAGAAGATATAAAATGTGTTGTTCTGGGTTGCTGATTTAAACAGCACTGAGTATATTCTAATATGTGAGATACTATATAACCAATTTTAGAAAACTTAATCTGGAGTTTCACTTATCTAGAAAAATAACTTAACAAGCAAGAAGGAGGTGCAAGTACCTCAGAGCTGACTAACTGGTAAAAATGAATTTACTTTTTAGGAGAAAGATCAGATACTGTAATATTTTACCTTAAAAACAACACACTTTTTTAGCTGGGGCTCCCTGGTTTAGAGGAGAGTAAAAATAGAAAGTAAGAAGAGGGGCCAACAGTTAAAACAGCTGAAATTTAGTAGCACTGATGGAGTTTAAAAATCACACACACAACTTCTCTCCCCAACTTGGGACATCATTGCTGCGTCTAATTAACATAACACTCCTCCAAATAAAACAGAACAAAAGCAGTAACATAAACAAAGTAACAGGCGTTATGGAATTTTACACATGGAAAAAGTTATCCAGTAAAATTATTTCATTTTTGATTGATGACTAAAGCCCAGTGTTACACTCCTGTCATTATGGTAGAGCCAAGCAGGCAGCAATGGCACTATTCAGTCTGTATGCAAAGTGCTTTCAATAGAAAAAAATGTTAACTGTTGTCACGTTTTCTTTTAGATTTCCAAATGGTCATGAATCATGCTGGGCTTCTGTGACAATCTAATTCTTCCATAGGCTTTTCCTTAACACAGTGGTTCTCAAATTTGAGCACATATCAGGATTAGCTGGTGGCCTTGTTTAAATACAGGTGGGTGGGCCCCATACTATAGTTTCTGATTCAGTAGGTCAGGGGTGAGACCCAGTAATGTGCACTTCTGACAATGTCCTACATGCTGCCACTGCTCCAAGGATCACTTTGAAAACCACTGCCTTAATGTAAAAGGTCTTAAAACTGTCACCTGATGTATGTCTTGCCTCAACAGCAAAATGGGGGTGGAAGATGGATCAGGTGATCTCTGAGGTGTCCTCTGCCTCTATATTTGGTATCTGAGAATGTTCTACTAAATGCACTGTAACTCTCAGTACTAATCACTGCAGCCATTTCAGATACCTGCAAACTGCAATTTTCATCTGATTTCAGTCACTCTTACCTTCAAAGAATGGATATACACATTTTTTTCTTTTATGTTATGACTGTTCTTTATTCTCTCTTCAAAAAATATTTTAATAACTCAAAAAACTAGAAAAAAAGTGACAACTTTAAGGTAACTTACAGTATAACTGACATCTGGGTATACACCTGCTACATTACTTAAATAATACCCATGTATGATTTATGGCATATAGCCCAAACACATACAACACTGAATGAAAAACACATAAGATTCAAATTGTATGAATGATGGGACTATTTTAAAGTTACATTATTAAAAATCATGTTACAGACCTTTTGCAAACTTCATAACTATTTTCTTTTTCTTCTTTAAGAGTTACCTTGTCTGAAAATCTACTCTGTGAAGAGATTATGGTTAAAAAGTACAAGTGAATATGTCTATATTCCACACTAAGCTATGAATCTTACCAGATTTATTGGAATGCATTAGATGTTAATTAAGCTACTAGCTTTGGCCAAGCCAGAAAACAATTCTACTCAATGTTTACTTACAATATTGAATATTGACTTAAAAATCTCCACTGTTGCATAAGATAAAAATGAATAAAAATAAAAATTTTCTCAGATTTTGATATCACCTTTATACAAGCCAACATTTTAAATTATTATGGATAATTCAGGAAAAAAGAAGAATGACACTGGGTAACCTTTCTGTTTTTATAGATTCATTCCTAAAGGCAAGCCCTAGTTGGAACGACATGGGAAGGCCAAAAATCTGCCTTACTGATATGAAGAACCAAAAGACAGAGTTTAGAACCGGGAAGTGAGGCTGAGAATCCTGGAAAGGAGAGCACCTGAGAGGGAGCCCTAAATTCTTGTTATAAGTTTAGTCTACATGTCTAGCTGACTCATGAACTACACATAAGGTAGACTCCAGACAGCCCAACTAAGGCTAAAATAACTGAACCAAGATTTCAACTACTTGCTACCACAGGAGAGTAATCTGGAGGCTGAGTTCATTCAAGGTAAAAATCTAAGCAGGCAATCACCATACAGCCCAGCTACTGCAGACCTAGGCATTTACTCCAAAGAAATAAAAAATTAGGTTCATGCAAAAACCTGTACATGAATGTGTTTATAGTAGTTTTATTTATAATAGCCAAAACCTAGACACAACCTAGATATACTTCAATGATTAAACAGCTAAATAAACTGTGGTAACCCATACCATAGAGTTATTACTAAGTAGTAACAATGAATGAACTGCTGATACATACAACAGACTGGAGGACTATACAGAAGATTACGCTGGGTGAAAAAGACCAATCTGAAGAGATTACATACTCTATCATCATTTATATGTCATTCTTGAAATGACAAAATTACAGAAATGGAGAACAAATTAGTGATTGTCAACGGTTATGGAGAGGTTAGTGGTAGGTAACAAGGAAGTTGGCATAGCTATAAAAGGGTAACATGAAGGATTCTTGTGGTAATGGAAATGTTCTTTATCTTGACCATACTAATCAATATCCTGGTTGTGATACTGTACTATAGTTTTGCAATGTTATTGTTGGGGGAAGCTGGGTAAAGGGTACATGAGATCTTTCCATGTTATTTCTTACAATTGCATGCGATTCTATAATTACCTCAAAGTTAAATGGGGAATGCCACTAAAGCAGTACTTATGGATAAATTTATAGCACTAAATACTTCTTTTAGAAAAAAAGGTAAGTTTCAAATCAATGACCTCAGCTGCAACCTTAAAGAACTACAAAAATAAGGGCAAATTAAAACCAGAGTTGCCAGAAGAAAGAAGAAAATAATCATCAGACCAGAAATCAGTGAAATAGGAAACAAGCAGCAATAGAGAAAAAAAATCAGTAAAACTCCAAGCTGGTTCTTCTGGAATAATAATAAAATTGATGATCTTTTAGTCAGCCTCCAATGAATCTACATTTATATCAAAGTACAAAAATTAGAGATGGAAACCAGATTAATGGTTGCTAAGGTTAGGGATTAAGTTAGGAGAGGGAGGGAGGTGTGACTAAGAGGTAGTGAAAGGGAGAGCTTTCCAGTGATGCAGTAATTCATTATCTTGATTACAGTGGTGGCTACAAAAATCTGCATACTTGATAAAATACAAAGAACTACATGCATTCATTTTACATTTAATTATCAAATTCCTGCTTGTGATATTGTATTTTAAGATGTAATCATAGGGGAAAACTAGGTGAAGGGTACAGTGTTAAGAACTTAATGAATTCTGGCAAACATCTCCCAAAACCTATCCTTGCAGGAGTGAATATATTATATCTTTTCCTCAGTTTTAAGTAGATCTCTACAGAATCTCCACTACTTTTGAAACTTCCTGTGAGTCTGTTAATTGTTCCAAAGTTAAAATTATACTAGGCGGAGCCAAGATGGTGGGGTGAGTAGGACAGTGGGAATCTCCTCCCAAAAACATAAAAATTTTTGAAAATACAACAAATACAACTATCCCTAAAAGAGAGACCAGAAGATACAGGACAAGAGCCAGACCACATCCACACCCGCGAGAACCCAGCGCCTCACAAAGGGGGTAAGATACAAGCCCCGGCCCAGTGGGACCCGAGCGCCCCTCACCCCAGCTCCCGGTGGGAGGAGAGGAGTTGGAGCTGGGAGGGAGAAGGAGCCCAGGGCTGCTGAATAACCAGCCCTAGAGATCCGTACCCAGGCGTGGGGTGCTGGATACTAGGGAAACAGGACAGTAAGACCTGTGGGCAGGTCCCCGCAGTTGGCAACCCTGGGACAAAGAAAAGCAAGTGCTTTTTGAAAGTCTTAAGGGACAGGGACCCCACAGCTGGACGCAAGCGTCCCGGGACACTCAGCCCAGTGGCTGGGAATTCAGGGGAACTCCGGGCACCCTAACCCCCTGGGCAGCAGCTCTGAGACCCCTCAAAGTGATAAACAGCCCCCCCTGTCTGTTTCCACTCCAGTGTCCTGCCATAGTAGAGCAGCAGCCTGAGGCTGGCCACACCCACAGTAAGGGAGCTTCCTGAATAGCGGCGGGGCAGGAAACAAACCCAGTCTACGCGCAATTGCCCAACACAAGCTGCTAGGGGTTGCCATTGTCCCAGAAAAGAAAGGCCAGGAGCAAGTGGAAAAGGTCTTGGCTCTCCCAGCTGACAGATGAGTCAATAGCATACCACTGCATCTATCAACATGAAAAGGCAAAAAAATTTGATCCAGACCAGGCTAACCCACACACCCTCGACATCCTCTCCTGAGAAGGAATCTAGGGAGGTAGATTTAACGAA